TCAATTTCAAAATAATGTATGTTATTTAATGTGTAAGATTTATATACTGGTTTATATTTATTAATATAATTTTTAATAATATTATTATTGTTTATTTTTAATAATCTAACATCGCCTAAACTATAAGATAATACTATGTCTTTAATTTCTATTGGTAAATCATAAAATATCATATAATATTAATATATATTTAATTATTTAATTATTTAATTATTCAATTAGTAATTTTCAAATATTGAGAAAACTTTTTCATAAACATTTTATCTGGGTTCTTTTCTAAAAGGTTAATATATAAAAAACTATGCGGTTCATCAGTGGCAGTCTCATATATTTTATAAATTAGTTTCTTGCTTTCATGTAAATTATCGCTTCTAACAATTGCTGATAATTCATCTTGCAATATTTCTATCTCTTTAAAATTTCTAACTTTATAATAAAACAAATGACTTATATTTACTCTAATAATTGGTGGTACGGTTGATGATTTTTGAAGACTTACAAGTGTTGATATTCCACTATGACGACCTCTACAAAATAAAGAATTTAACAATTTGTTATGTCTTGTTATTGCTGGATTATCAGATACATCATCCAAAATTACCAAAATATTAAATAATTTCTTCGTTCCTTGTTTTTTCTGATATTCAATTATTTTATTTTGAGTTTCTATAACTCTTTCTAAATCTTCAACATTGAACTCATCCCACCAACACGGTTCTTTATCATTATCTACTTTCAAACCTTCCTTAATGTATTTCTTCACTGGCAACCAAATACTATCCAAATTTACAGATGGAGACCAGATAAAAATTCTTTCAAATGCTCCTCTATAAATATCAAGTATCATTGATACAAGTAAAGTTGATTTTCCACTTCCAGATGGACCGACGATCATAGCTCTCATCGGCAATTTAGGGACGACCTCGTGCTTGCTTTGCTTAAAGTCATATTTGATTTCATCAATTGGTTTTACATCAGGCATAATAAAAATAATATTATAAATACTTATAAAATAAAAAATATAATATAATTATATCATAATGGCAATAGAATCTATTAATTTAAGTGAAGTGGCTAGTATTCGGAGGATATATAAATTTGGTGATATCTTAGTGCCCGACACTGAACAAATATATTATGATACAATGTTATACTTTTTATCTGCAATTAAAAAACAAAATATCGTAGTATCCAAGTCCTCAATTGAAAATGACAATAACCTAGATTTTAATTTTAGAAAGTTAGTAAATTTTATGAAAGATTATCCCGATATGTATACAAATGAAATGATAAGTAGTGTAGAAGAAGTTATTGATATTAATATTAAAGATGTTAGTATATCAACTGCAGTAAAACTTACTAAAGAAAATAGTTTAAATACATATTCTATTTAATATTAATGGAACATCATTTTTTATGATATGCTGGCAGTGAATATCATAAAAATGGAACAGGCGTTCCATTGTTTTCAATCAATAAGCATTGAAGCTAATTAGTTTTGTGTCTTGCTCGCGTGTGCAATGAAAACCCCAAGTGCTGTGCCCCACCAATATTCTATTATGCATGAAAATAATAAGATTAAATAACTATTTTATCTTATTATTTATATGAATATGAGTTATTCGGATTATATTGATATAATAAATGAAGTAGAAAATATAGAACGGGTTGTCATAACTGATAATAGATGTAAAAAAATATGTTATTTTATTTTAGAATTAATTAAGTTTTTGATACAATATATTAAAAATATAAATATTAATATAAATGCCAAAAAAGAAAACCAAAAAGAATAAGATAGGTTTAAGTGTTTCTTCAACAGATGAAGATAGCGGAGAAATTGTTAAAGAAACATCAGTAATTGAGTTTTCTTGTCCGATGTGTAAAAGGGTGTTAGAGATGAAAAATGAATTAGAAATAAAAAATAATAAAAAATGTAAATGTTCATGTATTCCAACAAGTTTCAAAATAAGTAAAAATGATAAGAAAATGAGTATTGATAAAACTAAAGACAGTATCAACTTAGAAACTGATGTCCATAATATAACTTTTAAATGGGGTAAGGATGCATCACTCTCGGGAAATGGTGATAAGGAAACTCAGGAAACTATTAAACAAATCATGAAAAATTAGTATTTAAAGAGTAGATTTAACATAATTGCACTTTATAAATATATATAATTAAATAAATAAATAAATATCTAATTATTTATATAATCATAATGCCAACTATGAATGGACAAGACCATAGAATTATAACTTTTGATGATGAAGAAATTAATGATATATTCGATGGTGATAAAAACTTTGCTAGACAATTGAGTATAGAATATTTTTATTGGTTAGATGCTAAATTTAATAATAAATATTTTATGAAAGGTATAACTAAACCGGATAAATTTGATAAAATGTTGAAGTTTTTTGAAATTACAGGTAACGATGAAGGTTTAATAAAATTGAAAAATAAAATTGATGAAAGACTCTTAGAATATAATTTATTTACATATATAACATTAAATTATTCAGGTAAATTGTATAATTAAATAAATAATTATCTAAATAAATATATAGTAATGTCTGAAAATGAGAATTATACTATTAATGATTTAATGAAGAAGATAACATTAATTGGTAAAAATATCAAAACCTTAAATGATATGATTAAATCGATTGATGACAAAATGAAACCAGTTGAACGCAATGAAGATAAAGAAAAAATCGAACAGATATTTCAAGCAAAATCTATAGGAAGACCAACGGGTGATTATCCTACAAAGCAAAATAAATACTGTGATATGTTGAATACAGGAAAAATCAAACAACCTAAAAGCACCACTTTAGAATTTTACAAAATTTCAAAAAATGATGATGGAGTATATGTATTATTTGAATAGTTAATATCTAAGTAATTCTAATAATATGAATTTAATAGAATTATTTAGTGGAACAAAAAGCGTCGGAACCATAGCAAAGTCGCTTGGATTTAATGTAATATCATTAGACTTGAAAAATGCTGATATCAACACTGATATTTTGGAGTGGGATTACAAACAGTTTGACAGAAACCATTTTGATTTTATTTGGAGTAGTCCCCCATGCACTGAATACAGCATAGCAAAAACTAGGGGAATTAGGAATATCGAATATGCAAATAGTATTGTCTTAAAAACTATTGAGATTATCAAATATTTCAATCCTAAATATTTTGTAATCGAAAATCCACAAACTGGATTATTGAAACATCAGGAGTTTATGGATGAGTTTGATTTTAAAGATGTTGATTATTGTAAATATGGAATGCCTTACAGAAAACGCACTAGGCTCTGGAATAACATTACAACTTGGAAACCTAGAGATTTATGTAAAAAGGATTGTGGTAACATCAGGAATAATAAACATATTGAAACTGCACAACGGCTACCATCAGGCACTAAGGAAAAATGGGGTGACAATCCAATAATACATAAACAGGACGACCTATATAAAATACCTAGTGATTTAATATTGGAAATTTTGATGAGTTTAAATTAGGGGGGTTCATCACAACATCCACCAACAGTGTCACCATGTAATCCCTTGTCCCGCGGAATTTAAGATGACATGATGTCACATTAAAACCCTTCAACTGACAAAACCCTAATCCCCACCTAAATTAAGGATTTTTAGACATATTTCTAGAGGGCACGGAATTTCAGATGACATGATGTCATGATGTCACTACAAATTCCTTGGGGTGACTTCATGTCATTTGAAAATCCTTGGGGGCAAAAACCCTAAAACCATACTATAATAATAACATTTATACCCTTATATGTTATAATTATAATGTAAAATGACTTAAAGGAATAAATACTTAATATAATAAGAGGAAAATGCCAATGATAGGAGTGACAGAAAAAGAGCTGGAACAGGATAGACAGATAATATTGAGTTTCATTAAGGATAATCCCTATCCATCGTATAAACAAGTCATTGAAATAATTAAAAACGATAAAACAATGAAAGATATATATCCAGATATGTTCGCTGAGTATGGAGAACAAAATCATCAATGGATAAAAGAGATTTACGAAAACATAATGAAAGAAGAACTCGTTAAACGTAATGGTAATAGTATTAATGAAAGAGGAGGAATGACAACAATGCATTGTAATTATTATACTTTGGTATCAGTGTTGCGTTATTTAATACAACAAAGAGCACCAATGAAAGATTATGACGTTAACTTAATCTGGTATAATATCAGAAACATTTTGAGCAGTTCTTGGAACAACATAGGAGACTGGAAACACTAAAAACAGGTTTAATCATACTATGATTATCACATGTGAAATATTATATGTTATAATTGTAATATATTTATCGTTTGTAAAGATTGAATTATTATATTTTCCTAATTTGCTTATCTCTTCCAAAGTGCGTTGTTTAGACTTGGTATGCTTCTTCAATTTTTTCGTGCTTTGGCTGCTTGTTTTTGTTTTGTTTGATGCTCTTGTGATACTTTTTGTTGGTATGTTGCTTTGATTTTTGTTGATGTGTGTTTTTGAGTTTGGGTTCTTTGATGATTTAGAGTGTTGCTGTTTTGTTGGTATTCTTGTTTGAATTATTTAATGTTGTATGCTGTGATTAAATATTTTTGTTGTTGGTTGTGATTATTTATTTTGTTTGCTTGTTGTTCTGGATTTTGTTTTCTGTTTGTTGTGTTGCTGTTGGAGAAAAAATAGTAGAAAGAATAATTCTTTGAATTCTCCTTTTACTATTTTTTCCCCTCCCCTCCCCCCTCCCCTCCTTCCCCTCCACTTGCCCAGCGTACCAAATCGATCGCCCCTTGAAATGGAAGGCGTTCCAGGCTTCTCAAAAACCGGCCGCTTCCCGGTGTTTCTATGTCGGCATTTTCTGGAAAGGACTCGTCAAATGACTGTGGCGGGAGGTCAAAAGCCAAATCGCACAATTCCCTCATGGCTTCATGTTTTTTCTACAGTATACCCCAGTCTAGGTATTCAGGCCCTAATAGTATTCCATCCAGGGGCTCCCTGCACTTGGCTCTGGTGATCCGTGATCACCGCGATCAGGAAGCGGTGGTTCAACAGCTCCCTTCGCGCCTGGAACCGAATTCCAAGCCGGTGACCATTGTCCCCAAGGAACCATTTCTCCGGATTCCATGTTTGGTGGGAGGGCAGATGGGAAAACCGGACGCCAAATTCAGGAGGCCCGGAACATTGATTTCCTGTGCAAATTCCCTTCGCAGACATCCCAAAGAACCTCAAGTTTGAGGCAAACCCTTCTGTGTTCGCAAACATCTCCGCGGCGAATCGGATGATGTCGACGCAATACCGAGGAATTTCTGAGCCTCTCCGCCAGCGAACGTATTTTCCAGATTTTAAGTTACCAAGCTGGGCATAGCTGAGAAAGATCCTCTTTGACTCCACAAATTGAATGACCATCGAGCCTTGAAGTGGTCTATTTTGCCCCCGGCAGTCGGCCCATGGGCCCATGGGTTCAGACATCATGTGCACACATACGTCTTGCGCACTCTGACTGGATGAAATCCTCGAACTGTGCATGGATCGTCTGCAATCAAAGATTACCTCGTAGCTTGCCTCATTGCGGAAAAGTGTAACTTCCCTGCAACATGGAAGATGCAAGGGTGTTGCCAAGCACTGGCAAGGCTTCCCAAAGCTGTTCACACCTCAAAAGACTGACATGCCTTCAGCCATGTTCCAAGGAGATGGATATTTGCCAATCCCCGAATGGCCTCCACGGACAACTCCTCCCCTACAAGCGGAGGCAGTGGCTCGCCTGAGGCGCGCAGATCAGCCGCAGCAAAATCTCCAAGGTAAAGATCCACACCTCGCGAGCCATCGGGCCGATACCATCCGCCACCCCTCTTCGACAGCTCGTTCAACAAAAGGCGCGGAATTTAGAGGAGTGTTAACGGAGAAACCAGTGACCAAGCCTGCGGGACCAACTTATTTTGGCATCTATCCATCTCACGACCCTCGACAAACAATGAACTGAGCTGCTTCAACATGCACATAGATGCCAAAAGGGTCTCATCATGCATGACCAACCCGGCAAGCCCTCGTCGGTCAAGACTTGTTATGCAGCATATGCATATGAAATGTCTGGTCCTGGTGACTCCATCACATCCAGAAGGCAGAACCATCATACGAAGCATGCAGATATCTACTGCAGTGGAAAGAGGAATTTCGGGGAGTGAGAACATGAACCTGCAGAACAGAACTTGCGTTTCACGCGTTGTGCGCAGGCTCTACTCCAAACACGAACCCCATAAAAGAGGCAAGCTTCAAGCCATCAGCACCGCTAGCACCGCGCGTGGTCGTTCGAGGGGCGCGTTTGTGCGCGAACTGGTCTTTCTTCGGCCAAGGCACGCAAACAAGCTCAGCCGTCTTCATCCACCTGAGCAGCGTACGGCTGGGTTCAGCCTCTCCAGTTTACCGGGAAGGTTTGCCAGGCGAAAGAGGGTGATGTTCGATGATGGTGATGTTCAGCATCGTTCAAACGGCATCAATGGCAAGACCATATGCTTGCCGATCACCCTGCTTCCCCTCGACAAACAGAACGCAAAAAGATATGAGCCGCGGTCCAAACATGTGGTTCCCGTATGGTAAATTGAGTGACCCCCTCGGTTGTGTGTGTGTGTGGGAACTGTGAGTCCCCTTCATGTCACTCCTAAATGGACAAAAGGCTACTGATATGTTACATTGACTGAACCTCATATGATGGAAATTGCCTCCTATGAACTGGCTGTTGCTGAGAAGCATGTACCCTGAGTATTCCAAGCAACTTGTGAAGTAGCTGGTTTCGGGACCAACCCAAGGCAGTCATGCACAAAGGATGGCCCAATTGACCATCGACACGTGTCACCTAGCGAATCCTCGACACAGCTGGGCTAGCTAGGCGATTCACGAACTTGATGGATTGATTTGGGGGGGTCCACCAACTGTGAAGGATGCGCTATACAAGCACCCCCCCTCCACCCACCCACCCCCCGGGCATCTATCAACAAAGTTTGTATTGATCCTTAATTCCCAGTACCAACCTCTCACGGGCGAACGAAGCTGGTGGAGAGAGCTCTTGAGAACCAGCAGTCAGTGGCCCCAAGTCCCAATCCCATCTTCGCCAGGGATGGATCCCAGACTTTTCCTGTCCCCCGTAGATCAAATGGTCCATGACTGTTAGTACTTGGAACTCTCCAATTTGTATATGGGTGTGAACTCAATGGGGACCCTTTGAAGGACATCATTTAAGTAAGCATTCCCATCCCCCACCCTGTCCCCACCCTCCCAACCCCCCGCGCCTTGGCTCCAGCGGAACGCAGGTGTTGATCTCCGTACCCGCGCAGGGCACCACCCGGATGGACTGACAAGCTGACTCGCCGACTCGCCGACTCGTGGTTGCAATCTCCGACACACTTGGCGTCGCTTTTGATGTCCCGCTGATGAAAAGCCAAAGGCAGATTTGTGGAAGGCCAACAACGCCCGGGTTCAACGAGGCACCACTGAAATGCCCCACTTGAAAAACATTCCGTTGGCTCCTTCCTTCGGGAACATGCGCATTACTGGGCTGTCTCTCAAAGATTCAGTGTGCGAGCACATCACCGGGACACTCAGGCTGACCTCTAAGCATGTGCCAGGTGGCTTCATCCATCTGAAAACCATCCGAAACCATCCTTCGATTCTTGTGCAACATCCTGCAAACAGTATTAACCAATCCTCCCCACCACAGAGCTAGCACAACCCATGAATGATCAGGCGGTTCCAGTGCAAGGCACCCACCACGCCAGACATCGACGACGTGTGAGCAGTGTGAAACACTCCTTATGTCGAGCAGAATGGTCCTCGCTGTGAGGAACCCATCCAGTGACAGCGAAAGCTTCATGCCAATTGATTTCTTGGCCGCGGCACATAGACATGGCCCAAAGGCCCAAATGGATTCCATGGGATAGACTATTCTGATCATTCACCACCTATCATTCATGGCGCATCCACGAACCCACGGCAGAGTTGGTCCCTTTTTGTACCGCGCCTCCATTGTTCCTCCAATCCACAGCAGCAGCGACACCAGGACGGCTGTAAAAAGGAAGCCTTCCCGGCGGCAACTCAAAAAGCAAAAACCAATGTGTCAACATGAAACGAAAATATGTGCCTGTTCCTCCCCCCAAAGCAAAAGAAGGTGGTCTCCCTTTGGCGTTCCTTCAACCAACCCTCCAAAAAGCTATCCTCAAAACGACGCCCTTGCGCTGATGATGGACCCCTGAATATTGCAATCAAGCAAGCTACAAAGGCATGCATGGGTTGATCAAGCTGTTTCCCGTGGACAAAAAACAAAACAACGCACCATTCCCGGTGAGAAATAGGGAAATAGGTGACATATCCATCGCCTTGTGATGTGCTTAATCCAGCCATCTAGCCATCGCCTTGTGGGGATTGACTTTCAAGTATCAACCGCCTCGTGGGGGGTTTGCTTTATCCGTCTACAGTATACATGTGATTTGCCTAAAAGTTCCCCTCCTCTGGCATGCTTTAGGTGAAGGTAAAATTCATGGTGAGGCATGCATCGGGCATTGGCAGTTTAGCCCCGGGAAGGTTCCCACACCAATGCCTATGGACAGTTGGAAAAATTGCAGTGTCACGCCTGAAAAGCGAAAAGCCGAAGCGAATTGGCCATCTAGTGCCCAATCAGCCGAACCTAAGAGAGGTTTTGATCAGGCTCATTTGGCCAGAGCAAAAAACACCTGTGAGTGAAAGCTCCTGACAAAACTGTGGGTTAAAAACACAACCCAACATTGAAATCTGCCATTTACATTACACAACTCAACATTGAAATCTCCAGTGAGGCACGGTATGTTCTTATTTTGTGCGGACACATCCTGAACTCATTTGAAGGGAGCCTCTATGGAGGGGCCCGGACCTCAATATGAGCCACACTGCAGGTATTACATGGGGAGTCTTGTTTTGAGGTACCCCATAAAAACGATTCCCCATTTCAGGCATTCCCTCATTCGGAGACAAACCCAAATAGGCATCCATATGATGGTGGGATCATCCTCAGAAATTCTGAATAACTGCACTTTTTGACCGCGCTCATCAGAATCCAAAATAAAAGCAGAACGGCAGTGGGTAGAAGTCTTACACGAACTATTTGCTTCACCCCGCATGCCTTTGCAAACATTTGCCAAGGCAAATGTGCAAGAAGCAATTCAGCTCCAGCTGGATTCCTGAATTTTGCGAACTCATCCAGCATTTTGCGAACATGGAAAAAACAAAACGATCCCTTTGCGAATCCCGTATGCGAACCTTTCTCACCTTTACTGCACCCATTCAGTGCGGCCGCCCGTTTCTTTGGGAATGTGTTTCCTAGCTTTCTTTTTGCAGGTCCATTTAAGGTGAGGGTGGGTTGTGATCTCAAGTTCCATGGAGAAGAAAAGTTGAAAACAAAATGTGGGTTCTCGATATGTTTAAGGGTCCCTGTTTCAGGGTAGGTCAAACGGATATCAAAAGGAAAACCGTCATCTTGGGGATCCCCAATTTTGATACCATGTGGAGCTTGGCGATGGGTTGGAAGGTTATAGTGCCCTGAGCATTGTAACAAGCCAGCGGTGGCAGCCAACGCCCGGCAGCCGCTGACCACCCGGCTTGGGGTGGTTAGTTTAGGGTGGTCTTAGGGGTTTAGTGGATGAGGGGGGGTTCGTGCGAGCAGGTGGGCGGGCTTGCGGGCTTGCTTGCTGGCGTGTTTGCATGCTGGCGTGCGTGCTTGCTTGCTTGCTTTCTTTCTTGCTTGGTGGTGGAATGAGTCCCACTGCTGGAATAGAATTCCTTGAATGATATAGCCCCCGCTAAGTACTGGCCACAAAAGAGTCCAAGCGGTTGTGTCTGGGTTCAAACCAGCCCAGCCTGACACACATCTGGAAATCACGGAGGAGTTGTCGCCCAAGTCCAACACGAAATAGATCCTCTCCTGGAGATCGGGGTTCCCAAATGGCGAGGAGACCGATTTCCGTTGGTCTTCTCTGACTTCTGTCTCAAACAGGTTTTTGTGCTTTGATAGAATCTATCAAATCTTCTCTTTGTTTTTGTCCCAAAAAAGGTGCTATCAAAAAGACAAAGTCATCTCCGTGGTCTGCGAGATCGGGGGTCAGCTAAGCCCCTCCTCTGCGACTCAGATACAACCCCCCCCCTAATCTTCTAAACAAGGATGTCCCGTCATGGCGCCCATTGCAACGGCTAAGCCCACACCAGTTGGTACCAGTACTGTTGATTGTTCCATTGCTCTCGACGCACAGAAGGCAGAACCGCCTTGCGTGAATACTCACAACTCTCAAGATCCATACCCATCTTTAAAAAAATGGCCGGTTCTTCAGGCCGCGGGACATGAATGCGACAACCAGAACATGACGTCGCACGCGGGAAACTCACTTAAAGGGCTCACACAAACATAAGATCACCTAACATGGAACATACCGAGACTTCGGTACAGCTTTCCCCGTGAAGGTGAAGCTCTGCCCCAACTCTCAGCGATCGAATGGCCTGGCATGCCTTGCAACTCCCCTTTTTCGACAACAAACAACTCTAGAGAATTGGGGGAATCTCCTTGCATGGAAAATCTATCGCTTGGAGCCTTGATCCTTCCGAGACTTGCTGCCCAGCGAAGCCTCTCCCCTTCCCCCCCCCCCAATATTTCCCAGCGCTCCATCGTGCCGAGCCTCGGAAATGGATGGGGGCTCAAGGGAAGAAGCATTTGAGCAGAGCCCGTTTCACGACTTTGGGTTTCAGGTTGTGCATATTCTATATGTACACAGCCCTGACTGTAGCTCTCATGACACCCGCTAGTAGAACCACCCACCCTGGGCAGTTGCGTGCTGCTTTTGAGATAAGTGGGTTTGGGGCTTTGCCGCTACATCACAGATGGATGTTTTCTGCGTCGGCCCAATGGAAGCAAGCAGTTGCCTTTTAGCGTCAGAGGGATCCAATGCACTTGGGGGCCTTTTGGTGCATGGGATTTGCGTCCACCAACCCCACCAACCAGTTCTGAGGGTTCCCGGGGCAAGCACAAAGAACCCTGGTTCGCCGATTCAGCTTCAAAAAATATGAACTAAAGTTTGCGAGGCTGGTTGCGGACCGATGAGCTTGGGCTCAAGAAATGTTAACATGTGTCAATGAGGGTGTACCGCTGAATCTGGAGACTCAACAGAATCATCAAAGTTTTCCACGCAAAATGACTAAAGGATTTAGTTCGCCACTCAGAAAACCCCACCCCCCTCCACCACGACTAGTGCTTTCGGATTAATCCGCAGTGGACACCATGGAGTCAGTGCATGGCCCAAACGTGTGACGGCGGGTGGGCGTAGGGTACACCATCATTTGCGCCCAAAACCCATTGACTTTTGGTTCTTGCAGACCTATGAAGCTGTGACGGATGCACGTATAGCTACTAGCCCTATGAAGCCAGGCATCCTAAAAACGCAGAGGTGTGTCACAGGAAGATCGCTAGGCCGCCCTGCCGCACGGCGAAGCGAGAGAACAGGGTGGGCCGGTTCCACTGCACCATCCAATCCTTAGACGGTGGGCCAGGATGCACCCCAGTCACAATCGAAGCCTGGTACTTAAGTGGTCCCATGCAGAGAGTGTGGGACTGCATTTTTCTCTTCTTCTAGACGGGTTTTGATTGAGGCTCATCTTTGGTTCACAAAGTGCCATCGAGTTGCCTACCCCGACTGACTGACATCTCCAGCTGATGGCCAAGATAGGGATGGTAGGAGTTGTTTTGTTTCCATCGGCAGCCTGGCGTGCAGTGATGGAAGTTGGACCCCCAAACTAGTGGTTCTCCTGTTACACCTCCCTTTAAAGACCTGAAAAGGACGCCTTTTGCCTCAAAACGACACGCCTCGCATCTGAGGAGAGGACTGGGTCAAAGGTCTGGGAGTTCGTGTTGATCCCCATGTCCTAGCTCCAGCATCGCCCTTCGTTGGGCTAAACGCTTCTTGGAGCGTCCTTTGCAGGTTCGTTTAAAGGGAAACCAAAAGGAAAACTGAAATCCATGTTTGGGTCGACACCCTCGCGTGTGAGTCAGGCTTGTGTGAAAGGCTACGGGGGCTGGGGGGTGCTGGTGGCCGAGGGGGGGAATGGGCACGTGGATTCAATGGTTTTGCCGGTTGTTTGCACCACTCCTCTGTCAAACCAACATGTGGCTGGCACCAAGCAGGCGCCAAGGCAACCAAAATGAACGGCACACGGACCTCCAGAAACTGCAGGTCCCAGTCGATAGTCGTATCTTGCCTCAAGTCGAAAAATGTCAAGGACATACTGCGGATGGACAAGATCCACGTTAACACCAGTTGGGATTGGAGGTTACTCGACAATGGATACACTTTCATCCATGTCAACTGGTGCGAAGCAGATTTTGTCCAGCTACGCTATGAACGCCAAATGAGAAAGCCGCAGTGGCGCGTGGCCATATGCTACAACATCAGGTGTTCCGAGATTGCACCAGACCCCGATCTCCTTCACCTTCAACATCTCTACCCAGATTGGTTGGGACACACGCGCGCACACGCACACACGCACACACGCACACACGCACACACGCACACACGCACACACACGCACGCACGCGCGCACACACACACACACACACACACACACACACACACACACACACACACACACACACACACACACACGCGCGCGCGCGCGCACGCACACGCACAGGCACAGGCACACGCACAGGCACACGCACACGCACTGGCACACGCACACGCACACTCTTTGACTCAGAGGACTCTTAAAATTGGGACCCCTTTTGGATGGCGCTTACATCTTTGCCAAGGGAGCGGCCCAAACTTGTTGTGGAAGCGGTGCATAGCCTTCAGCATCTCCCCCAACTTCATCTGGCGCGGGACTCCAACTAGGCCACTAGGCTCTAAGTCTCCACTCCACTGCTGGCGCTCTGTCGTGTGTTGGCCCGTCGCATATCAGCGACGCCGATGCAGCTGGTTTAAGGAAAACCTGTGGCTACGTGGAGAATCAGCCTTT